TCCCTACGGGCGGACGATGGCCCTGCTTTATCCATAACCCCAGGAGGGGCGCGGGGCTGAGATCCATCTGTGTCTGTCTTCAGTTTGATAAACGTAGTGACTCGAGGTGGCCTCTCGGGGTGAGGCCAGGAGGAATGTGAGGACGAGCCCCTTCCCTGGCTGGGGGGGGCCTCGACCGTCCCTTGTGCTCGCAACGGTGCTCTCTCTAGGAAGGAGGAAGAAATTACCAGTGGAGGCATCGGCTCCTCCTCCATTCTTTGCTTCCCCCGGTCTCGATTGAAGCCCAAGGCGAGTGAGCGCCAGCTCCTGTGTCAGTAGCTGGGGCGAGGCCAGTACGGTTCTGGCTACGGCTACCATCAATGCTCCCTCTAAGCTGTGGAGTCTTGTGAGCAAAAATTCTATTCTGTGAGCTCCTGGCATGAAAGCTGTGAGCGAGCGGTTCGGCTCCTGCCTAAATTAGCTTGCCCTGGAGCCGTCCCTCCCTTAGCTGAGATGATCTAAACAAAGTAAGGAAAGCAATCCCAAATGCTTTCATTTACTTAAATTTATTTGGCAGAGAATTTGACACTTTTATGATGGTATGGACCTGGCTGGGGTGATGGCACATGTGCCCACAGAGAGGGCTCTGAGTGCCACCTCTGGCACCCGTGCCATAGATTCGCCACCATTGCTCTAGCCAAAGGAGCAAATAGCATTTGAGCATCATTTCCATTACATATTGCGAGCTCTGATTGCAGAAAAATACCATTTGCAGTTGTGGTCAGCAGTGTTCCCTCTAAGCTGAGTTAGTGTGAGCCAGCTTACAGTTTTTTAGCCTCCAGCTCACAGATTTTTGTCTTAGCTCTGGAAGGATGGCTCCAGGGCAATGCTCCCTCTAAGCTGTGGAGTCTCGTGAGCAAAAATTCTGCTTCGTGAGGTGCTGGCATGAAAGTTGTGAGCGAGCGGTTCGGCTCCTGCCTAAATTAGCTTGCCCCGGAGCCGTCCCTCCCTGAGCTGAGACAAAAACGGTGCGAGCCGGAGGCTGAAAAACGGTGAGCCGGCTCGCACTCATTCGGCTTAGAGGGAACACTGCTTCCGAGCCTATCAAAGGAGCCGATGCTGTCCCCCTCTCTGGAAGAGACTTCCTATTAGGCGACACCGCTACTAAGGAAATACAACACAGTCCCTTCTCCCCAAACAAGGTTCTCCCTCCCCACAGCGCTCATAGTTACCTGTCGTCGTGCTGTGCTTCGGGGTGAAGGGGCCTAGCAGAGCTCCTATCACTGTCCCCCAGATCCCGTCTTTTCTTAGAGTATGAATGTCCACCTCTCCGTTTGCCTCGTGTTGCTCGCGTTTCTCTCCTGCCCCCGACCTCCTTATGGTTTGTTTGAACGGAGTGAATCACCAGCACCTGTGCTCTTCCTCTTCATCCCGTTTTTTTTTGAAAACGACGTTCCTTCATTTCCCTTCTTTCTGTTGTCTCGACCGTTTTAGAGACACCAGGTGGAGGACTTGCTAACAAAATTAGCTAGGAGATATTTGGAGGGGGGGGGGAATATCACCGGTACGAGCTTTCTTCCGACTAGGTGAGGCCGTTTTTCAGGTTAAAGCCCCTGTGTAAATTCTACGGACGTTTCTAGGCCTTCAGAGCAATGCTCCCTCTAAGCTGCGGAGTCTTGCGAGCAAAAATTCTGCTTTGTGAGCGACTGGCATTCAAGTTGTGAGCGAGCGATTTGGCTACTGCATCAACTAGTTTGCTCCGGAGCCCTCCTTCCTGAGCTAAGACAAAAAGGTGTGAGCCGGAGGCTAAAGAGCTGTGAGCTAGCTCACACCGACTCAGCTTAGAGGGAACGCTGCTTCAGAGACGTGAAGATCAGCTTGAAATCGCGCCGGCGGTGTCTTGTCAAGGCACAGGATCCTGGCGAATCGCGGCCTCAGATTTGCCGTGGTCGGAAGTCTGGGCTCTCAGAGCTCTCTCAGAGCCAGTTTGGTGTAGAGGTTAAGAGCAGCAGACGCTAATCTGGAGAACCAGGTTTGATTCCCCACTCCTCCACATGCAGCCAGCTGGGTGACCTTGGGTCAGTCAAAAGTTCTCTCAGAGCTGTTCTCTCAAGGGCAGTTCTCGAGAGAGCTCTCTCGGCCCCACCTACCTCACAGGGTGTCTGTTGTGGGGAGGGGAAGGGAAAGGAGTTTGTAAGCCGCTCTGAGACACCTTTGGGTAGTGAAGGGCGGGGTATAAATCCAATCTCTTCTTCTCTCAGAGCTCTCTAAGCCCCACCTACCTCACAGGGTGTCTGTTATGGGGAGGGGAAGGGAAAGGAGTCTGTAAGCCGCTCTGAGACTCCCTTCGGATAGTGAAGGGCAGGGTATAAAATCCAATCTCCGCCCTCCTCTTCAGTGTGTGCTTGAAACCAGTGTGCATCGTTGGCTGCGCGCACACTCGTGACACGTGTCCGTTGTATACTACAGTGTACAAACCAAATCCTCATACAGGGGTGACGTCCAGCAGAAATCCTTACTGTGTAAAGGGGCCCTTAGTAGGGGCTTCTAGGCCGAGTCCTGGGAGCAGCCCTCCATCACCAGCAATGACGAGATCGTGGAAGCACTGAACACTCCACGTATTCAGCCTCCTCCCCCGCCGCCATCGAGGAGCCGGCTCCTTGTCGCACCAGCTTTTTGTAGCGACGATTAGACGGTACACGCAACTCAACCGGACTTTGCCCTTCCGCCCTGGGACAGGCTGTCTCAGCCGCGCTGCAGCTGTCCCCTGCACATGTCTCACCGCTTCGGGTTCTTTGTATTTTGTGGGGTTTGGTTTGTTCCCCCCCCCCAAAGAACGGAGTGTACCTTCCCCTCCCTGGTCCGGTCCAGCAGCAGCTCGCTCCTCCCGACTTCTGATTACCAGCTCGCGCGTGCTTCTGTCACACATCCAGTCTGAACTTGGGGACCTTGACGCCTGCCGGTTGGTCTGCCCCTTTCCTACTTCCCGCCCCCCAGCCTTTCTGTCAAAGGCAGTGTCCTCGTTCCCTCCCTCTCCCCGTCCTCCTGGTGCTATTTCCGTCTCCTACGACTGGTCTCTCCCCTCCAGTCTTGTCGGTTCCTCTTCTCTCCCCTACCCTGGTGCTTATCTTCTCTGGACATACATCCTTTCCCCCTCCCCTTTCCCCCTCCCCTCCCTTGGGTTTTATATAAATTGAAAATTATCCAAACTTTGTTTTTATTTATAAAATAGTTTTATTGGCCTCCAGGTCGTCTGCGTCTGGCTTCATTTCTTCACCGTCTAAAGCAGGGGGTGGCCGAACTCGCTCAGCGTAAGAGCCACCCAGAATAAACGTCAGAGGTTTCGGGGGCCGCGAGACAGGAACAGATATGACAGGGTTACCACTAAAATTGTATTTTTACTTTCCCTGACCGACATTTGTCAATTTCCCTGACCACCATTCAAATAGAACCACAAGTTAAAGAAAGGAATAGGACGTATTGCATGAATGCAAGGGAAGGTTCCACTCTACAACGACACAAGCCTCAACTGCAAAAATATCTGCCAAAGAGATTTAATATCAGCTTCTCTCAACATTAACTGCAGCAACCTCTGTTTTGCAATGGCAGCAGAAATCACACCAAGATACAAATTTCAATTCAAGTAAACCCGGAATGCTAACAAATGACTAACATTTGTGTTCTTGTTTTAAAGGTACACTAAAAATTATATAAACGTTCAATCTAAAACGGTTGGGAAAGGGCATCATTGAGTTCTACTTGTGTTCTGCTACTTCTCTATTCCAGTTGCCACAAGAACAGATCACGCTCTTGCAGCAGCAGGTCAAAAATCCACGGCTTGAATATATATTCAATCCCAATTTCCCCGAGTTTCCCTGACTTCAGACCAATTTCCCTGACTTTTCATGACCAATTTTCATTTCCCTGACTTTCCCGAAAGTGGCAACCCTGTATAACACGTTCTTACTGGGAAATGTGCCGATTTGCTTTTTATTAACATTAAATGAGACTGCCAGCAATAATAACGAAAGCTGTGAAAGCAGATATCGAAAATGGTATTTATTGGTCCAATGATAATTTGTTTGCTAATGATATTTCGCTTCCCCGGTCGCCCTGCTGGGAGCCGCACAATATGTGAGGAAGAGCCACAGTTTGGCTACCCCGAGGCACAGTTTGGCCACCCCTGGTCAGAAGGATCTGCCCTCCCTATTCTGGCTGGTAGGGCTGAAAGGGGCGGTTTGGGGCCACTTGGTTTCTGAGAAAGGGCCGGTCACAGTTTCTGCTTTGAATCCTGCCGCTTTCTGTCAGCTCTTCACGTAAGCACATGAATTGCCTCCTCCCCTACTCTGAGAGCCAGTTTGGTGTCGTGGTTAAGTGTGCGGACTCTAATCTGGGAGAACTTAGAGCTCTCTCAGCCATACCGACCTCACAGGGTGTCTGTTGTGGGGAGGGGAATGGAAAGGAGATTGTAAGCCACTCTGAGACTCCTTCAGGTAGTGACGGGCGGGCTATAAATCCAATCTCTCCTTCTTTTCATTTGGTGTAGTGGTTAAGAGCAGCGGACTCTAATCTGGGAGAACCGGGTTTGATTCCTTACTCCACCACTTGCACCTGGCTGGATGACCTTGGGCAAGTCGTAGTTCTGGTCAGAGCTGTCCTTGAAAAAGAGCAGTTTCTGTCAGAGCTCACTCAACCCCACCTACCTCACAGGGTGTCTGTTCTGGGGTGGGGAGGGGAGGGGAAAGGAGTTTGTGAGCCGCTCTGAGACTCCTTCAGGTAGTGAAGGGTGGGGTATAAATCCAATCTCTCCTCATTTGGTGTAGTGGTTAAGAGCAGCGGACTCTAATCTGGAAAACTGGGTTCGATTCCCATTCCTCCACATCAAGCAACCCTGTATCCAGGAAATGTACCAGGAGGGGGCTTTGGGATGGGGGGGACGCTTTGGGATTTTGGGAGTCACCACGAGTGACTCAAGGAG